TCTTATGTTCTTATGTTCTTATGTTCTTAATTGCATGTATCTGAAGCTAATGCTTTAATTGAAATTAGCTCTAAAGTTGCTTCACTACACGGTCGTAAATCCATCGGACCACTATACACACCCCTAGACTGGGACTCTTGTCGGATGTCTCAGATCATTCGTACGAGTATTGAATTCCCAATGATCAATATTCACGGACTTTACAGTCACACATCTCGGATTCCTCCGGGATGGAGCAGAACCAAAAGACTAAGACACATGTGTGTATACCAGTCGCCGCGATGGGGGGGGGGGGAAGATAACCGCAAACTACAAAGAAACACTGGAAATGACTAAGAGCTGCTCTAGATCTCAGCCCCCCCGAATTCCATCTCTCAATCATCTCAACCTCTCCATGTAAGTGTGATAGAAAATTGAACAGATGATATATTTTTCTTAACTAGCTTTTAGATAAACTGCTTTTGGAATACGCTTTTCATATATTATTGCAAGAACGACTGGGTGACAGACAGCTGACACTCACGAGTTCTTTTTTTTTAGCCTAAGTGTTGCACTCATGTTTTGGTGCACAGTTCTTGTTAGAATTGAGTAATGCGTACTGGGGGACAAAGGAGTGATCATCGAGCGCACATAGCAGACATGGCAGAAACACCACAAAGACAGAGGCCATGAAAAAAAATAGACGCCCCCTCACATGACCCAGGCCTGCAGCATGCTGATCATGTGAAGTATACATTTTTGAAAGATGCAATCTGCATAAGGCATATGTGTGTTACAAAATGCACCCCCTACCCTAACCATAAATGAATTCCACTCATATCCTGGAACTAAATCTTCCAGTAACTGAACAATTGGGACTTCTATAATATTGTTTATTGGAGAAAAACAATTAAAACATAATAATTAAATGCAATTAATTATTAATTTCCCTACATATTAGACGAAACAAATAATTTGAGCTAAGTTTTTTTGTGTTACTAATATCTTAGTTTTAAAAACAGAGAATGATTATGATTTGAAGTATGTACTTTATAAAATGTAATAGTATGTATGTCTGTTCACTTTCTTAAATAAAATAAAAAATAAAATAATACTGCAAACACAAACCAAGGTTTGCAAAATCGCTAGCCCAACGACTGGAGATAGTCAATATTTCCTGTCAGGCGATCAAAATGTAACAACATCTTGCCCAACAGGCTATCAGAAATTATCCATAAGTAAAATAAAATTCATTCCTTTATTCGCCTATACTGCTCTTAACTTGCTGTTTGGAGGAAAGATTATCCCCACTGAATGAACATGTTGCTGATCATGTTGACGGTTTGTGCACTAGGAAGTGTATGACTAAAGCTTAATTTATAGGAGGATTGCAATTTATTGGAAATTCGATGGTCCGAAATCACATGCAAAAATACGAGGTTAAAAATACAAAGACAACATTTCAAAGTTGCTCCAATTCGACGGTCCAAATTCACATGCAAAAATACGAGGTTAAAAATACGAGTTTTACATCCGGGATACCAAGGCTAAGCAATCGAATCTGTGGCTGCGTTCGACTTGGGCTTAGGTCTGTCTGCAGCTGACGTGACAAGAGCATCTGGCTGCGGCTGCAGGGGTGGAGTATAAACTGACTGCAGCCAAGTCGGACAACTTCTACTCCTCATAGCGTGCGAGACCTGACTGCAATGGCCGCACTGCCAGATAAATCTATACAAATATCACCTACATGCACATTACTTCTTTTCAAATAAACAACTCTTGATCCAAACTGTTAGCAGTTGAAAATAAACTATTCTGTATAGTGGCCCTGTGTAAAAAGATAGCTGCCAGGAAAAAGATCAAATACATGTATTTCAAGAAATCAAAGTTTTTATTGTCATGTACTGAGTAAAATGCAATTCTTACTTGAATGCCTTCTTCACAGACTGGACGATTAAACACATAAAGCAGCACAACATTACAGTAACTAACAATAAATAAACCACTAACTTACGTGCACTTTAAGAGCATTTATGTCATTTATTTAAACGTTATTTTACCAGGTAAATTAACTGAAAAACAGTTATAACTGCTTTATGTGGTATTCGGGAGAAATAGCAGATAACGCCTCGGAACTGCCTGGGATACAAACGTCAGGACCGGAATGCATTGCTGTTGTGCTGTAAGCGGCTGCATGAAGTCAAATGCAGCCACAGATTCGATTGCTTAGCTTTGGTATCCCGGATGTATAACTTGTATTTTTGCGTGTGAATTCGGACCATCGAATTTCCAATGCATAAATATTCAATGTTAGAATTTCAGTGGCATATAAAATTCAAATTGTGATGATACAGATTTACTTCCATAGTATTCATGTTTAAGTAAATGTCATGCTTATTATTCTTCATTCATTATCCATTAGTTATAGTTATTTTTGTCATGTAGTAATAATGCTAAGCAGTTGCATTGCACTGTGCTGTAATAAATAAAAGTTTAAGTGTCTTAAAGGCAAATTGTTATTGATTTATTTTATCCCTGGATGTGCAGCTGCAGAGATTGAGGAATGGTTTCTTTTTGCTTTCCTGACGATGTCCGTCATGCTGACAAACTGCTATGCCACAAGTTTGCTGCTGATGCCCAGTTAATGTTGCCTCATTGTGGCTGGTTTGTGAAACAATAAGAACGGTTTTTACTACATGTTTTAAAATGTTTTTTTATTGCTTTTTTTTTATTTGGGCTAATCAAAATTAATTTCAGGGTAACAAAATTTGAAGAATGTCCACCTGAAGGGCTACTAGGGATTTAGAAATTTTATGAGCCCAGCAAACACAACTAGGAAAAGTTGTAAACATAAGGCAATGTGTCTGACATTGACGTGTCTGAATAACAAAACTTAAGAGATGCTTATTTCCACATTGTAAAAGCAAATACGAAAAATTAATAATAAAATTAAAAAAAAGATAACATCATAATCACAATGACCTAAATCCGGTGCTCTGTAGCGACAAACATCCCTATAGCCATAAACAGTTATTGGCCCAAACTCAATTTCCAGGCCAAAGCGCCTTAGATGCCACAAGAAGACAAACTTGCAGAGGCTGTTTCTACCTTGCTCTAATTGCACTCAGTCATGGATGATGTCATATGAAATCATTTAGCACACTGGATGCATTTCCAGCAGCATATCCAAACTCAGTCTAAAAAAACTGACAGTTTTGGTCTTAGCTGCTCTCTCCAGTGCTGATGTCATTTATTGGGGAATATAAGTGCTCTCAAACTGCCAATTATGATGGACTGTAATCAGTATTAGCTGTAACCAACTCACAGCCAAAATTAGCATGTTTTCCATGTTGAACTTGTGAATTTAGTTTTTAACCGTGTCATTAAATGATTTAATTTGTTTTACTGTGCTTACTGAAGCGAAAATGATGGACTGAACAGTACATGAATAATGTGTGTGTTTCATTACAGCCCTACCACCTAAACTTAAATAAGGAGACCAAGGAGGTGAACAACAAGTCCATGCTGTCAGCTTGATGATGATAAAAATGCAAGGATGCAAGACTGCAGGAGGCCCCATCTGGCAGGACTTTGAAATGGATCACGCTGTGAGCAGCCAGTGAGTACAATTATGCATACACACGAGCATACGCATGCTGAGGCTGCCTCTGGAGAAACTCACCTGTTCCTGTGCCCGACTCAGCATGCAGATGGCGTTCACATCAAAGGGGTTTTCAGCCAGCCGCTTCTGTGCTGCCGCCCTCTCACTCACAGCTAGCGTGATGTCCACAGGCTGAAGGAAAGAACACCCAATCAGCTACAGCACATGCATATACATCTCCCTTCTGTATGGAAGAAAGACCACCTCCCATCAGGAACAGCACAAGCATACACATCTCCCTTCCATATGGATGAAAGTGTTCTCATTTTCTTCCATGGCTGTACATCACCCAAGTTCATTTTCTTTTTAAATCAGCCTCCTCAAATCAAATGCCCACCAAGCCAGCATACAAATATTGAGTGAAGAGCAAAGCACCTTCTTTCCACAACTTGAAGGAGTCCCACAGCACTGATGGCCAATGGTCTACTAGTAAGAAACCACTCAGAAATTGTCTAGAATAGCAAGTAGTGGCCAGCACACATGCACCCAGGGCACAAACCTTTCAAGCTCCTCCCCAGACCTCACCTCCCCCCCACCAAGGAAAATCTAGAAAACAACATACCATAACAGCTTGGCTCACAATGATGGCCATTTGGTTTAATGCAGATGGTACACAAATGCAATTAATAACTCAAACTTGGCCAACACATCAAAGTCAACATAAACTTATGAACAGAATATGCACCTTATATGCATTTTTGGTTATCATTTGCAGCTTTCCAATAGGTGACTGAAACTTAAGTCATTCCTTAGCCAGATCCTCATCTAGGGGTCTGCTTCCCAAATGCTCCTGTTAGCAACTTACAATGGAACCATTCAATTGCAACAGTTACAATGTTAGCAGCTACGCTTTTGGGAAATGTACCCAAGGTCACCAAGTAAGCTGCAGCACGGCCCGGTTCCTCTAACTTATAGCATTTTCAAAACAAAATCCCAAAAGTTAATTCAGGCTGATGTTCAAGGCAACTTCTCAGTGATAGAATTGTAAGTCATTGCTCTAAATTTATGGCTTCCCACTAAAAACATAGCAGACCTGTGGGATTCACCTGCCGATACACTATGAGTGTTTTGCCATGGAGATCATGAATAAGTGGTGTCACAACATTACCAAGTTTTAACACTTTGTTCTACAGCCATGGCCAAAAGTTTTGAGAATAACCCAAATATTGATTTTCATTAAGTCTGATGCCTCAGTTTTTATTATGGCAATTTGCATATACTCCAGAATGTTTTGAAGAGTGATCAGATGAATTGCCATTGATTACAAAGTACCTATTTGCCATGAAAATGAACTTAATCCCCAAAAAAACATTTCCACTGCATTTCAGCCCTGCCACAAAAGGACCTGCTGACATTTCAGAGATTCCCTTGTTAACAAAGGTGAGAGGGGTGTTGAGGACAAGGCTGAAGATTACTGTCATGCTGACTGAGTTAGAATAGCAGACTGGATGCTTTAAAAGGACAGTAGTGCTTGAAATCATTGTTCTTCCTCTGTTAACCATGGTTACCTGCAAGGAAACACTTGCAGTCATCACTGCTTTGCACAAAAAGGGCTTCACACCCAAGGACATTGCTGCTAGCAAGATTTCACCTAAATCAACCATTTATCAGATCATCAAGAACTTCAAGGAGAGAGGTTCAATTGTTGTGAAGAAGGCTTCAGGGTGCTCAAGAAAGTCCAGCAAGCGCCAGAACCACCTCCTAAAGTTGATTCAGCCGCGGGATCAAGGCACCACCAGTGCAGAGCTTGCTCAGGAATGGCAGCAGGCAGGTGTGAGTGCGTCTGTACGCAGTGAGGCGGACTTTTGGAGCATGGCCTGGTGTCAAGAAGCGCAACAAAGAAGCCACTTCTTTCCAAGAAAAACATCAGGGACAGACTGATATTCTACAAAAGGTACAGGGATTGGACTGTGGTAAAGTAATTTTCTCTGATGATATCCCTTTCCGATTGTTTGGGGTATCTGTAAAAATGATTGTCCAGAGAAGAAAAGGTGAGTGCTACCATTAGTCCTCTGTCATACCAACAACAAAGCATCCTGAAACCATTCATGTGTGGGGTTGCTTCTCAGCCAAGGTAGTGTGCTCACTATTGATGAATATAGAATGGTAACAAAACATCCTCCAAGAGTAACTTCTTTTGGCCATGACTGTGTACCGTCACACTGATGTTGCAGCCAAGCAACAAACGCTTTATGCAAGCCCCAAAGCTTTACAGCTGCTGTTAAATCCATGTCTGCTTGCTGAATACGCACACTTCTTGTAGCACTTGTGCAGTGTCATGGCAGATGACAGGGGCGAACCTCCAATTTTATGCTTGCTACTTTCCTGTCCAGGATTTTTCTAGGTCAACAGCACTGGCTAAAATCATCTAGTGTGCATGCATTGTAAGGGAGCCTCCTTTCATCTAAAAATGGCTGCTGTGTGTCTGTACAAACTAGGAATAGAGCTGGGGACCCCTATGGTAACAGAAGGGGCCTTGGGGCCCCAAAACCTACAGTTTGCGCCAGTGTTAATTTTGGCAGCAAATTTTCATTTTGTTTTAGTCAGTCTTTTGACTAAAATGTAATTTAGTTTCAGTCATAATTTAGTCATCTAAATTATTTTAGTTTTAGCCTAGTTTTAGTTGAATAAATATAAGATTACAGTTGACTAAAACTACAGTTTAGTCGACTAAATTAGTGCAAAGTTTCCCTTCAATTTCTGAAAGTTTTTATGTTCACCAAGATGAAATGAAACCAATGTTAAGGAATGGTATTAAGGTCTCACTGTGCAGTAAACAAAGACACAGATTTCACTCTTATTTGAAACACAAAGATATGTTTATTTACCCGGAAACAGTACTGTAAAATCAGTAGTGTCATTAGTGCAAAAATAAAATCACTTCAAAGAAAAAGTGCATAGGCTATAATGCCACCAGGCCTGCTCTCTCTGAATATTAAAATAGAAATATTAAAATAAATATTTGTAGACGTAGTTTATTGGTGATTTCATGTTAGTTGAAGTTTCTGCTTTTTAACAACTGTATAAAGTGATCTTATTTGTTATATAAATCAACTTCAGGGGAAACAAAAAATGTACGTTTTCAGGGTTGCCAAATCTCAAGAATCTAGCATGACACTCAGGCTTTCAGACTCACGCAGGAAATGTTACGGCAAATCTACATCATACCATTATAAACCTAAAATTAGCTACATCAAAAGTGTATTTACACGGTTAAATACAAAAGCAGACTATTTACATGGCAAGCACTGTTACATATGTGTGCAGACCTGTTGAATTGAAAATCTCACTCCAGCCTGCTGGCCAAAGTTGGCAGCCCCACGTTTTATTTTGAAAAGTAAAATGCATTGTTTTTGCATGAAACGGCTTGTCATTCCATTTGCGTTGTTACTCGTGCAAATATAAAACGAATGAGAAAAACACAACATGTCACGTTTTATATCTTTTCAAAATAAGTCCGCCCATATCCTACTCTAATAGCGATTAAAGTGATAGGTTCGCATGTATTTATATTAAAACAAGACTAATTTTATGACCGGTGTGGGATTATCAAAAGCAATACTTAAATCCATGAACACTAAAATATATGACATAAACACAAACAACAACAAATTTATTTTTGTATAGCGCATTCTCACAACATTACATTGTCTCAAAGCACTTTACAGCATCCCCACCCAAAGCCCCCAGTGAGTAAGCCATAGGCGACAGTGGCAAGGAAAAACTCCCTAGAAGGAAGAACCTTGGGAGGGACCAGACTCAAAGGGGGAGCCCATCCTCCAGGGGCAGGCAGGGAGAGTCAAATCGGACTCAACCAGAAGGCAGGGAGTGGGTCATACAAGGAATATCGTCTCGTTTTAGTCTGAAAATAAAGGTTGTTGACGATAACTGTGTCAACAAAATTAACACTGGTTTGCGCTAACCAGTGTACTAATCCATGGCCTTTGTTATGCCCCTGGTCTAGGTTAGTCGGCTATAACAGGTAAACAGGAGACCAAAGTACATATTACTGCATAGTCTCATCCAAAAAAGGACACTGATGGTCTTCATAAATGGGTGACTGGTTCAAGGCCACCCTAGACAATTGAAGGGATCTTGGGGCACCAAAAACCACAGTTGGCCAAAACTAGTGTAGTATCTAAGACTGTCCTGGGCCTTATTTAATAACACTGCACAACAAAGTTTTTGCTTCTTCAATACTTTTGGGTGTTCCTTTATAGATTTTTGGCTGCTGATCATGAAAATCATATCCAAATTTGCCCACCACGTACTGTTTCATCGAAATCTTCAGTTTTGTTTTGTATTTTTCTTATATTTGTGTCCAAAATTTTTTATTTCCCTAAGAGACATATCAACAATGTTTTGTACAGTCTGGGCATGTCCAGGCATCGAATCAGACCAGGTTGGAAACTATTCTGTGGAAGTTTGGAGCCTGGGCGTGCCTGGCCTGGCCGGAGCCAGCTTGACACTGCCTCAGTAGGTTATAGAAGTGGCTTGCATACACAGATGCTGCTCATTGGGTTAATATAGACCTGATAGTGTGTATGTATTGTTTCAGAATATAGTATTGCCTCAGTAGCAATGTAACAAGTAAGCTAGATGCTATAGATGTTTGCAGTATGATTAGTGTTGGTCGATATGTCTCGTCAATGTCATAAGATTCTGTTATATTTGTGGCGAATATACGCTTACACCTCAGAGATGCTCAGTGACTGCTCTTGTGAAGAAAGCATATCATCTGAACTTTGGCTGTAAAATCGATGATCAAGACAAGGAATGGACGACTCACATTTGTTGTGCGACAAGAACCTGGCTCAGAGGCACTCTAAAGACAATGCTGTTTGCTGTCCCGATGATATGACAAGAACAGATAGACCATGTGATAGACTGTTACTTCTGTTTGACTAATGTGTCTGGTTTCTCTGCCAAAAACAAGGTCAGCTGAATACCCTAATCTACCTTCAGCAATGAGACCCATGCCACACGTCAGTCTTCCAATTCCGAAACCACCAGAGGAATGCACCTTAGATGAAGCAGATTAAGAAACTGCAATGCAGGGGACTAGCAAGGACAATGATCCGGATTTTGAACCGTGCTCATCAGGTGATCCACATACATCTCACAACAGTCAG